TGGTATTGTAATAACTGTATGGCGGCAGATGATAACTAGACTTGTCATGGTGAGCAATGTGTAATGTACATAACTGTGGAATCATGATATTATACCTGAAACTAATACAATATTATATGTCAACTATACTTGAATTTAAAAAGATAATTTAAAAAATGGCCATGTCCCAGTTAAGAATCAATGTTTTTGACTTCATTCAAGGTTAAGGTTCCACTTATTCTTGCCGAACCTCACTGTCTTTTCTGTTGTATTGGCGGGGACCAGGAAAGGTTGTACAAGGACCAAATGGTGCTGTTGCCTGAGGGGTTTTCATTCTCTGGGCCTCACAGATATTTACAGCCGACTATCTCCCACAGGGGACTTGTATGGGTTTCTTGATACCTTCCTTCAGTTGATGATGGCCTGTCTCTTATAATTGCTAAATGAACCCTATATCATCAGCCTATTGATCCCTCTTCAGCCCCTAGGAGTCTGATTCCACTACCAGTTCCTCCAGATGAAGTCTGTTGGCCCCTTTAGGGCAGGACAGTCCCCAGCCTGCTCTCTGCCATGTGTGGACCGCATGTGGCTCACTGGGGCACCTTCTACCCAAGCAGATACAGGGGTGCACAGTAATTCCTGAACATCGGCGACTGCCTCACTGGTGGAGTAGCCAGTCAGCCTAGGTCTCTTGTCCACAGAATTTCTCAGGCATGAGTCAGATGCCAATCCACTGTGTCCCTTAAGGTTTTTGGGGTCCACTGAAGCCCCATTTGATTTCAGATGAAAGGGGAGTCCTCCTCACTTACTTGCCCAGTATGTGTGTCACAGTGAGTAGAATTCCAAAGAAGCTCTTACAAACCCTTCTTAATAAATGTTAGATGCATTACCCCTAGAAACTATTCAGGCTCTTGTAAGTGGTGATTTCAACATGATGGGGAGCCCTTGTATGGGAGGCATATGCCGTAGGGCCTTATGAGTTGTGATAGGGGCTCAAGGTTTCCCTATAAGTGAAATGAGAGCCCCTGGAGGATCTGGGAAGGAGTGACCTGGACTGACTTGTGCATTAACGGATTTGCTCTATGACAATAGGCAAAAGTGGGGTGAGGGCAAGGAGGCCAGTAGGAGACATGCAATTGTCCATCTTCCCTTAACGAAGGTTTGAAACAGAGGTGGGGTGGTTGAGGTGGTGAAGGAGTGAAGGAATGATGTCCTGAGCTGCTTTCGAAGGCAGACCAAGATTTTCTGGTTGTTGGTTGTGGAGTCAGAGAGAGCGTGGGGTCAAGGGAAAGCCTGGGATTGGGGGGCATGAATGGCTGAAAACTGGAGTTGCCTCTGAGGCAGGTAGAGCTTTGGGCTTCAGGAGAGCAAGTCTGAGTGGGGGCCCCAAGAGCTCTGCTGAGACCTGGTATCATATGCAGATATTTGACCTTGCTCAGTCTTTGAGGATTACAGTTGTGCCTGTCTTGTAGGGTTTTTTTAAATGATTAAATGACATTTACACACACACACACACACACACACACATATATCTTTGTATTATATATGAGATTTTATATCTATGAGATTTATTTATATAAATGACATTAATATATAAAATTAGATTGTATATATAATATTTAACACAGTTGGCATATATCTTTTTTAATGATTAAATGAGATTTGCATAATGAGATTTATATATAAGTGAAATTATATATATAGTATTTAAAACATTTGCTTCCTTAAAGTCACAAACACAGGGGTGCCTGGGTGGCTCAGCTGGTTAAGCGTCTGCCTTCGGCTCAGGTCATGATCCTGGGGATCGAGCCCCGCATCAGGCTCCCTGCTCAGTGGGAAGCCTGCTTCTCCTTCTCCCGCTCCCCCTGCTTGTGTTCTCTCTCTCTGTCAAATAAATAAATAAAATCTTAAAAAAATAAAGTCACAAACACAGTCTCAACTCAATAATTATGGGGGTGGGGGATGGGCAAAATAGGGGAGGGAGATTAAGAGGCAAAAACTTACAGTTATAAAATAAATAAATTGGGGCGCCTGGGTGGCTCTGTTGGTTAAGCGTCCGACTCTTGATTTTGGCTCAAATCATGATCTCAGGGTCATGAGTTCGAGCCCTACAGCGGGCTCCATGCTGGGTGTGGAACTGCTTAGGATTCTCTATCTCCCTCTCCATCTGTCTCTCCCCCCATGCTCATGCGCGTTCTCTCTCTAAAAAAATTT